GTTGTGGCCCGTTTTGGATGTAATTTTTCGCATGTTGCATGTTGGAGGAAGTGCCTCGTGGCTCGTATTCTTGAAGTCGACGAAAAAAATTCATACAATCAGGTAGGTTTGGACCAGGGAGTCGTAAAATACAGGTATTTTACGACTCCCTGGTTTGGACTCTTGAGGGACTGCCGCTGACATCCAAGCGCTTTCGCTTTCCTGACCTCGTGGTCAGAGCAAGTGCCAGTGCAGTGGAAATTCCGGTAGTGGTTTCTTTCGTCTGTTGCCGAGATGAGAACTGTATTTTCCGATGATATGTAACTGAAATGCCTTGAGGTATGGCATTCCATCATCGCAGAAAAGTAGAGAAAGATAATTTCCCAAACCGAAAAGCCAGACCAAGCTGCCATCGTATTGAACGAGTACACTGTAGGAATTGGTCACTGACCCGATCACAACCAAGCAACTACAAAAACAAAAACAAAATCGACATCGTCCAAAAAGGGCAAAGAATGCATATATGGCGGTGCGTGCGTGCAGGACCACAACTACAATATTTTAAAAATGTGCAAATGATTATGTCGAGGTGACATCGACAACCGCTGTTGTTCTGGAGGTTCATCCAACTGCCATAGTTTGTCGATGTGGGCTGTGACACATGACACGGTCACCGGCTGACTGTTTCGACTTGGTGCAGACGCTGGACCAGATAATACATTCCCTATCTCTGTGTTCCACACCGTCTCACCATTAACTTCCTTCTTGCTGTGCAGTACCGCGTTGATATAGTCTGCACCAATCAGCATATGTATTTCGTCTGATGTCCCTTGTTGAGGCTTGTCACTCAGCTCTACTCCCCAACTGTGCCACTGCGCAATGGTCTGCGGACTTGCGCACTTCAGTTCCAGCTCAAGCGTTGGTTTCACGAACGCGCGTACCCGAATGCTAGCGGAGCTACCCTGGATCGTGATGGCGTACTTATCCATGCGCTGTTGGGTTGGTTCCGCGCCGAACGGCTTCACCTCTACATTTTCAACCCCAACGTGTTCTGCATCGATTGCTGACACCAACGCTGCAGTCACGAATGACGCCTCAGCACCCGAGTCCAGGAACACGCGAACCTTCGCGTTTCGAGTTCTTCCCTCAACTCGTGCCACTCCGGTCATCAGCCGCACACTTGGCGAGTGTAGACAGCACGATCCAACATTCTTCTCCGTAACTATCTCAGTCGGTTTCTCCCGGCTGTAACCTGCTCTATCCAACACATCATGTATTAGCAGGTGGTGTTTCCTCTGGCATTTCGTGCATCTCGAGCCTGACCGACATTCTCTGGCCATATGGCCATACTTAAGGCAGTTCCAGCAGAGTCTCTCTCGCTGCAGAAAACCCTTTCTCCCTTCCTGTGGCAGCGACTTTAGCTGCTTCTCTGCATCTGCGACCGATATCGCCATGCACTGTGCCGACGCCGTGGGCCTTGGCACGGATCGTTCTACTGGCTTCCTGGCAGTATCACCCTGTCGTCCGTGCGCGACCTGGTAAGACGCGCCGTGCTCCTGTACCTGGCGCAGTGACATCCCGTAGCACTGCCGTTCGACCAGGTACGTCTTCATCTCAGGTCCGCATTGCTCCAAGATTACCTGCTTTGCCATTGCTTGCAGCACCGGGGACATTTTTCCTATATCGGCGCTATACTTGGTGTCCACCTCGCCATCTTCTGTCATAGCGAGTGTGGCCCACACCTCTACCTCTCGGCAAACACGGACAACGTATTGATGAAACGACTCATCTGACCGCTGCTTGCCTGTCAGCAATGTCTTCCACGCTTTATCCGGAGTCTTTCCGAGCGAGGCAAGCAACTCTCGTTTTGCTTCCTCGTAATTATTGCATCCAATACATATCCTCTCCGCTTTGCTACCCGCTAGCGCGATGCGTAGTCGCAGCAGCCATTCGCTTTCTTCGAACTCGTTCTTGGAACAGATGTCCTCGAACAGGTCAAGATAACGCTCCAATGGCTGCGTTCCATCATATGAGGGGATTTTCATCACCGGTTGACGCCCACCGCTGTGACTGGGAGATTCCTCTGTACCTCCCATCGTGGCTTTACCCTCACCCTCCTGCGCATTGGCGATGCGCTCGTTAATCTCCTTCAGTGTTTTGGCAAACTCGGTGCGGAGCGCCTCCTCTCGCCGTCTGGCACTGCGCTCCTCACGCTCCGCGTACTGTTGGAGCCTCTGCTCCACATGTATCTTCAACAACTCGCCTTCTAATCCTAACCGCTCTCCATTGTCGATAAAGCTGGCTTCCAAATTGTTCCATAGTTCCTCTGCCATGCTCGCTCCTATCCTGGCGTGGTCGCCAAATGTTACGAACCCTCTAAGATTCTCTAAATTGTCAGGATCGTACGACCACACGGCACGAGGACAACTCTTTTCCTTTACACAGTATATTTCACTTCATCTGATAATTAGCAATGAACACTAATAACACCAGCTATTTATAGCATGCAGAAACAGCGTACATGCAAAACATAAGTATATAAAACTGGACATAACAGCGTATACAGCAAAACGCACACAACGCATATAGCGTATGCCATGCAGCAACATCAGCGGTACGGCGGAGTCGAAATACAACATTTCAACGAATACAATGCCATAAGCGCGAAGGCCTTTCCCAATTGAGAACTGGTGGTTTACAACAACCGCCGATTTTCATGAATCAACACACCGGAATTTGAGAAATTGAACATACTTCAGGCCAGGTTGTACACAAATACGCTTCACGTCTACGATCATGTTACCGCCAAGTCGTGGCACCCCCCTCCGGAGGTCGCGGTCACGATTTGAAACGTGGCCGCGACGTTTTGGTCAAGTTCATGCCGTTGCCATGCAACTTGGCCGCATGGCCGCATGGACGCTGGTTTTGGTCGCAGTGTGAGCGCGCCCTTATCGAAATGGGTGTCTTCACTCACAAGTGGTTCGGGTCCTGTAGATATCCGCCAGTACAACCACCGTCCTTAGGCTTAGTTCAAGTAACTTAGTTATATTGTACATGTATTTTATGCTGACCTTTCATATTTATATATTTATATTTATTACAACATCTCAAGACTCAGTGGAAACACCGGCCAATGTTAAGAGAGTGGGTGATTGCCAACCACGGCGATAAATAAAAGTAAGGGGAGGGAAAAAGAAGGAGTAGCAAAATGAACAGCAACAACAACTCCGTAAAGAAAGATAATGTCAAATAAAAACAGTGAAAAACACAGAGACACAAAGGACATGTGGATAATGAGCTATTTATGTCGTAGTAAATAAGGGGCGGCACGGATCTTAAACAGGCGGAGTGAGGTCAGATCCTTAACTTCTCTGGGTAGAGTGAGCCAAACAGAATAAGCAATAAAGAGAGGGGAGCGCGAAAGAGTGGATGAGTTACACTTAGGGAGTAAGAGCGAGTTTCTAGTTCTTAGAGAAGAGAACCAATTAAAACCGTGACATGAGATGAGGTGGGCACAACTCAAGCTTAATAGAATGGACAAGAGAAGCCAGGTGTGCACTGCGTCCATGTGATAACGGGGTTGTGTGAGCGATTTTATAAAGGGCGGATGATGAGAGCATGCGGGGTTGACGGAGGAGGATTTTAAGGACTTTCTTGATTTTTTACAGATATACTCGATGTGCATACTGGCCAACCCTCCCGTTTTTCCCGGGAAAATCCCGGAAAATCAACACTCCTCCCGGGGTCCCGGGGATTTCAAGCAAACTCCCGGAAAAACCAAAGTTTTGTCTGATACAGGATTTTCCTGAAAACTCCATGGTTTCTCCCCGAATGTCCCGCTTTTTGAACTTTTTTCAAAGGTATGTACGGTGCTCATTCGCACTTCGAACTGTGCACAGCACTTTGAAGACCTGACCATGCAAGATCTGCACTGACAAAGTGACAGGCGGGCGCCGACTGATCACACTGCACTACAGCCTAGTACAGGGTCGATCTGTGCTGTACGCACAGCTGCAGAGTCGAACGTTTTTTTGGCGGGAAAAGCTCTTTTTCACTTGTTTTTGTGCCATCCAGGGATTTTGAGAGAAATCCAGGGATTCTGCATGTCTTGTCAAGGGATTGAGATTGTGGTGGTTGGTCAGTATGGATGTGGGGTACCCAGCAGAGTCAATCACAATGCCAAGGTGTTTGTGAGAAGACACTATGTCAATTGGATTTGGAAAGTTGGCATGGATGAGGGTTGTGAACTCTGGCTGGGGCGGGAAGAGCATGATCTTTGTTTTTGATAGATTTGGGGACAATCTCCAGGACGACATCCAGGAAAGAACTTCCTAAATGCCAGCACGCAAGTTGTTTTTCAGGCCAGGGAGGGAAGCTGATGAGGTGAGAAGGGTCGTGTCGTCAGCAAACAGAGCATACAAACTTCCAGTCAACTTGCCCATCATGCTGGTGGCTTATACTGAGCATATAAACCTCATACAAACCCCTTACAAACCCCATATAGACCGCCACCATAGAAACAGGAAGAAATTGACTGTCGGTTTGTATGAAAGGTCAGCATAAGTATAATACATCCCACTAGTACGCTTGTACGTGAAATATAAACCATCATACAAACCAGGGAGTAGTACAATACAATATAGGTATTGTACTACTCCCTGATACAAACCTCGGCTTCGCCTCGGTTTGTATGTCGGTTTATATTTCACGTACAAGCGTACTGTTGGGTTGTATTATATTATACGTATTGATTTATTTGAATTCGGTATCTCAATAGTACAATGTACAACTTGGGAAGTTCAGTAATCCATGTACTTCAGGTGCTGATCAGGGAATAGGAAACTTCACGGTTTCGTTATTCTACAAAGAACAGAAGGGCTTCTTTGTCTTTGGTGCAGCGGCTTGCAAATTTTAATATAATTATGCACAGGCACTCAGAGTAAAGTCATGTACCCCATGTCACCAATGAGCAGATCTTATGACAGAGCCAGAGCGACACCAGCACACTGCCAGCCAGGAAATAATTTTGTACTGTTCTATTTATTTCTCAGTTTTCAGCTTGATGGATCGGCAGCACTGCCACACAAAATATTACTTCAAGTGCTATCCAAGGAACAAAGAAGAAGAAATAAACACGAAAGAGAAAGAAACAGGTTAAAGTAGTATAGTATAGTATTTATTCATAATTGTTTCTCTAGGGCAGTCCCCACAGACCTATGGTCTCCTTACGGGGTACCCTAGCCAATCTAGGATTGCGCTACGAAAAAGGAGTAAGAGAACTAGTTCTATATACGGAGAGTACAATTCCCGTGCACAGGAGCAGAACTGTTCTTACCGTGATTGGGTATTGGCCCCGACTATTGGGACATACAGCGACAAACAATTGGAGCATGGTTCAGCTTCTCAACACCCGTGGTCATGATTGTGAACAATGAACACCACGGCTAGATGGGGATCAGGGCACAATGTACAAGATGAGAGGATTGTTCTACGGAGGGCTAAGGTAGGGAGGCCTGGATAGTACTGAGTAAACACAAAAGAGACTGACTCATAGTTCTCAGGCATCATGGCCGGCTTCACAACCACCGAGTGCTAAGACACAGTACGAATGTAAACCGAGGACGCAGATGTTAGCATGTAACCTTTCTTGCTTCGACTTCTGCCGCGACTTCGTTCTCGTACTCCCCTTTATGTACAAGTGTTGTGCAAACCCTCCTTTAATATAGTCTGTCTCATTTTGCCCTAGCTGAGATGTTTTGATGCATAGTGATTATGACGCTCATCATTCGCTCCCTAGTCACTGGACAGTTCTGTCCGTTTGGTTTTAGCGAATTCAAATAAAGAAAACAACAACAACCGTGACGCTCTGCTAACAAGAGATTATGACAGGGATGAGACAGTGGAAAACAAAAAGCAGAACTGCCAGAGATGGTGTCTTTGCCAACCAACAACTACATGATATGAAGAGTTGAGTGTTGGCGTGGCTTTGCATGTTGTTATCACGTAACGTTGCACTTTCGTTTGGGAACTAGACGGAAGATGCTGGAGAAGACAAAGGTAGAAATGAATCAAACGCATTCGCCATGCGCGAGCACACACACACACACACACAGAAATATAATGACAAATTTCTTTAGGTAGCTCAAACTACTTTCGCCATGAAAACCTTTCTAAAAACAGGAGACGTGCTGGTTTCTCTGGTCTCTCTAGAATGCATTGACCTCAGAAATCATCGGATATTCGTATGAGGCAAAATACTATTACTGGTAGGGGTGTCAGAAGGTATTGTATATTGCCATTGGTGTGGTTATGAAAAAGGCAGGGGGTTGGGGCCTTCCCCGGGAAAATTTTGGAAAATTGGGCCCAAATAGCCCATATTTCATTGAATCGCCTGTTCCGGCACCCCTGACTGGGAGAAAAAGGCCAGAAATTGGCTTTTTGTCTGGCATGTTCCAAGTATCATCTGTAGCATCTGCCGCTAGGGTTTACCGGGTGTTAGCGGCCGTCGAGAGTTCCCTTTGGGAACGGACACGATAATTTACTCTTTTTTTCAAGTATTTGCCGTGTCCGGAAAACGAAAGGGAACAGAATTCGAGGAATTTCTTTCCATAGCCTTTGTATGGTTCTACTAATTTCAATGCTTTTCGACCAGAATCTGCCAGTTTTTAGCATTACTACTTGAAGTAGTACTTTATTTGCCAAGGCCTACTCCCAGCCAGTCAGAGGAAGATAAGAGGACTGATCCCATGAATGTTCCATGAGGGCCTGCCACCATAACAAAAAAGAAGAAGAAATAAACCTGCCACAGTTTTCTTCCTCTTCTCCTTTTTAGGTTTTTGTTGTTGTCGTCGTTGCTGTTCAAAACGTGAGAGGGGCCCGGAAAAGCCACACGATTCGGGTCCGAACTAGCACACACTGCATTTTATTTGCGAAACGAGGCTAAAAATGCCTTGCGACTTCACACGGCATGAAAATGATGTGCCCAATAAAAGAAGTGAGGAATAAAAGAAGTGAGGGAGGGTGATAAGCCAACTATAGCAAGAAGAGAGAAAGGGAAATAGGTATACGGGATTGTAATGGGAACTGTGTGATGGGAAAGCGATTGCAAGCTAGAAGAATATTTGGATGAATTTGAGGGCGTTTCGAATAAGTAGTACAAATTACGATTGAGCGGGTTCAACCTCTGACCCTGTGAGGAGGGGTGGGGGGCATTGGCAGGAAAGTCACCAATAGGTCATCTCTCCTTGGCAAGGAGATTGATTACTTTCTAACAGCGTATTTCTAATGCACAGTCCACTTGCTAATGCTCATTGAGGAGCACAACAGATACTTCATCACTGGTTGCTAATGCTCATTGAGGGATATAACAGGTATCCCCACACAGTCACTTACCCCGAGTTAACGTAAGTCTGTTTCTGATGCGGCATTTAGCTGGGAATCTTCTCTATTGAGCTGATGGAATCATGGCGATCCGTTGATCTTGTGCCATACGGCTGGAGCAGTTGGCAGGGAGGAAAGCAAATGGGGAGATACTAAAAGTCAGCGAAACTGGCGATTACCATACCGCTACTCTCTTACTTTATCTGCTGCATTCAAATGTACATGTACATGTATAGGCCTAACAGGTCATATTAATTTTCATGTACAGGTGTTGTCGCTGAAATACAACCCATAGTGCACAACTGGTGGCCTGGACTAGTTCAGATTTCCCCTCTGTACCCGCTGTGCATGTTTAAGTTAAGTTCAGCTACATTGTACATCCGTACCACTTCCAGGGCGCCATGGGCCGTGCAAGTTGAGGGCACCAAATATGCACTTTGGGTCGAATTTCACTGAGCACAATTGTACATGGGATATTATAGGTTGGTTCACTGCAATACTTCACATCATGTATTAGCCATCCCTGCAAGAACACGCAAGCATCATCGCAGCCAATCCAGTTGTTGCAGCGCGAGGGTTTCACGCGCTGATCAACTCTATATTGCGGTGTTTATTTAGCCAAGAACCGCAAGAGTGAACGCGTACGTTTACGCTCCTTGCTCTACAAGACTGGGTCGGAATGCCTAATGTGCGGTGGAGAGTCACTGGGTTAGTTTGGGGTGACTGAAACCAAGGTATTGGTTCACAGCCGATATGCATGGATGCCTTCTCTGCAGTCTCGGACCAACACTTCTGGAGCTTGTCGAAAGGCAGTGTAGTATCCCTGCCTTGCTAGTACTGAACCGCAGCTGACTCCTACTCATGATACCGTATAGCGTATAGTGTAGAGCGTATATTTAGCGTATCCCCGTACGTTAGCGTATGGAGTCTGTTTGTCTGTAAGAGCTGCAGTGTTTTACTTATTTCTAAAAAACTGCAACAACAACAACAGAGCCGAGCAGAAGAGCTGCTCTGACCTCCAGGTGTGCACCGGAGAAAGTTCCTTTATTCAGTGCCGCTTCTCTTTCTTGCCTTCTTACATGTAATCCAGGTGTGTACCTGAGAAAGTTCGATTAAAGTTAATTCGTGTTGATTGCCATGCCTCCACTCGGCTACACACTACATTGGTGGTAGCGGTGCGTGATTTCGTCCCTTGCTGTTTAAGCAACTTCCGTGTTGTTGTTACCCTCCTTAGTCAATCGTTGACGTAATGGCTCAACCCGCTGCCCGCCACGTGCACAACTGGGCCACCCCGGCCAAATACGCAGGTCAGCTAGACGACAACTGGTTGGTGTAGCGTTGGCACGCTGGTGACTTCAAAGCGTGTAGCGTTTAGTGTTTAGAGTATAGCATATCCCCGCACTGTATCCCCGTACATTAGCGTACGGAGTCTGCCTTTGTATCAAAGCTGCTGCTCACGATTCTTTTATAGCCAGTTAGTTAATTTAGTTGCCAGTCAGTTAATTTCGTTGCCAGTACATTTCAATTGCCAATTACAGTGTGTTCACTGAGACCCTTGTGCGTTCTTGCGTCCGAGAGACTGCGGCCCGCTACAAATTGGTGGCAGCGGTAAATTCGTTTTGTTTCATTCTATACCTAACTTTGTTACTTTACACGTTCTCCGATCCGATGGCTCAACCGAATGTACCTGCTGTGGTACCCGTCGCTGCGCCCGCTGCAGCCCCAGCTCCGCCCGCTCCTGCCCAACTACCGAGAGGGGCGTACCATGTGCAGTCCGAAAAATACAAAGGTCGCCTGCAGGACAACTTCGCGTCCTGGCTGATGCATTTCGACCAGGTCGCCGCGGTAAACAACTGGAACAACGTTCAAGAGACGCAGTTCCTGGGCCTCGCACTGGAAGGCGAGGCCCAGCTGTATTACCAATCGCTCCCAGCGGCCACTAGGAACGGAGGCCGCCAACAGCTAGTCCAGGCGCTGCAAGCTCGGTTTGATCCTCCATCGCGCAACGTTTCAAGCTCGTCGCCAGGCAAAAGATGAACAACTGGGTACTTTCTGTGAGGCGGTTCGCTCCCTGGCCCGGCAAGCTTACCCCCAGATGGCCGCGGGGGACCTCGACAGCCTGGCAAAAGACCAGTTTATCTCCGGGCTTGACTCACGGGGCATGCGGGTCTGCGTTCGGGAGCTAAACCCGCAAACGACAGACGGGGCCCTCCAGGCCGCGCTCCATCACCAGGCAATCCTAGCTGCCGAACTGCCCGCCGCGGAACCTGTGCCGATCCCTGCCTTTGCTGTTTCCCAGCCGCTCGATACGGTGACAGACCAAATGAAAGCTGGGTTAGACCATCTGGCTACGTTGGAGGCCAGTCTGCCAGGACCAATTCGTCAGTCCCGACCTGACCAACTACCACAGCCCCCGCAGACGCAAGGCCCCACACCTGTCACTTGCTGGTCATGTGGCCGACAGGGTCACATCAGCCGAGAATGCCGTGCCCGTCATCCTGCGCCGGCGGGAAACTACCGGCGGCAGTACTAAGCACCTCGGACGCTAGCCCTGCTGCATCCTGCTCTTCCGGGACTGACGTAAGCACTGTGTTTATATGCCTTGCTGTCTTGCTCCTTGCCCACCCTGTTACGCTCACGATTTTAACGGTTTTGCTCACTGTGCTGTACCGCCACCGCCTCCCTGATGTACGTGCTTTTCTCCTCGACCTCTCCCCATTACACTTTTTTTCGTCGAGACAAAGCGACCATACATGCCGCCTACCTGTAATACCCGTGACTGTGAACGCAGTTGATTCCAAAGCTTTGTTAGACAGTGGGTCTTCCAAGTCAATTGTGAGCAAGAAGCTGTGGGATTCTCTGAGTCAAGGCGCTATCGTGCCTCCACTCGGCTACCCACTACAGCAGTACAGGCGGCGAACAGTGGCGTCTGTCCTTTTCCCGTGATGTGAATGGGCTTTCAAGCCCTCTCGTTTCACACATGTACTTCCAAATCAAAAGCTAGCAGAAGGTTGAATAAAGTCGGTTTAGTTTGTTCACGACATGAAAATCCCAACGGCAATACATACACATCTCTGACGCCGTTCTGCTCCATTTCTTTATCCACATACCACATGGCATGGCACATACCACATGGCATGGCACATACCACATGGCATAACACATACCACATGGCATGGCACATAGCACATGGCATGGCACATAGCACATGGCATGGCACATAGCACATGGCATGGCACATAGCACATGGCATGGCACATAGCACATGGCATGGCACATAGCACATGGCATGGCACATAGCACATGGCATGGCACATAGCACATGGCATGGCACATAGCACATGGCATGGCACATACCACATGGCATGGCACATACCACATGGCATGGCACATACCACATGGCATGGCACATACCACATGGCATGGCACATACCACATGGCATGGCACATAGCACATGGCATGGCACATAGCACATGGCATGGCACATACCACATGGCATGGCACATAGCACATGGCATGGCACATAGCACATGGCATGGCACATAGCACATGGCATGGCACATAGCACATGACATGGCACATAGCACATGGCATGGCACATAGCACATGGCATGGCACATAGCACATGGCATGGCACATAGCACATGACATGGCACATAGCACATGGCATGGCACATAGCACATGGCATGGCACATAGCACATGGCATGGCACATACCACATGGCATGGCACATAGCACATGGCATGGCACATACCACATGGCATGGCACATACCACATGGCATGGCACATACCACATGGCATGGCACATACCACATGGCATGGCACATACCACATGGCATGGCACATACCACATGGCATGGCACATAGCACATGGCATATAGCACATGGCATGGCACATAGCACATGGCATGGCACATAGCACATGGCATGGCACATACCACATGGCATGGCACATAGCACATGGCATGGCACATAGCACATGGCATGGCACATAGCACATGACATGGCACATAGCACATGGCATGGCACATAGCACATGGCATGGCACATAGCACATGGCATGGCACATAGCACATGGCATGGCACATAGCACATGGCATGGCACATACCACATGGCATGGCACATAGCACATGGCATGGCACATAGCACATGACATGAAACGTACCAGAAAAAGTACCAAACTCTGCCAAAATTTCTGCCGGCATTATCCACCAAGAACTACCTCTACCACCATCCAGTACCCACCCCTACTTGGCCTCAAAAATGTCTATCAGGCGTACTGCTAGACCGCAGCAGAGCACGAGCATAACATCAAAGTGTTGAATGCACGTATACACCAGGTTGCATACGTGCATGACAGATGTATGCACTGCGGATCACACGTGCATTCTTACTTACAAGGGGTGTCGTGTGCTTGCTCCGGAAACGCAGTAAATCAGGATCCACGTCAAAGGATAGACGTTCACTCCTTCGCCGCCAGTGGCAATAGAAGTGGATTGACTGCAGGAGGACTATGATGATGACAACGATGAGGATTGCAATCAAGATGACTTCATTCCTCCTATCACGTCCGTTATCAGCGTGTTGTGCCCAGTTTGTGGGCCTGTCACGAGATGGTGCCCGGCTTGTGTGAACCAGCACTACAGTGCAGAACACAAGATCAGAATAATGCAGGATGTGCAGTATATGCGTTGACTAGCAGCTCTGCCGGGGCTATGCACTGGCACAGGAAACAATGCAGCTTAATCTTAGCGTACCATCCCCCCCCCCCCCCCACACACACACTCTCTCTCTCTCTCTCTTTCTCTCTTCCCTTGAAGTCTCTCTGATTTCCGCAACCTACACTGTTTGCCCGGTGCTGATGATGTCCACAGCTTGCGATCATCCGGGGTTGAGTTAACAAGCATCATGCCTGTGCGGTCATCCGGGGTTGAGTTAACACTCATCGGAACTGGGCTTGCGGCAGCCGTTGTTCCGGTGGGACTTGCAAGACTACTTTTATGACTACTTTCAGTTGGGGCCATTGTCGGTGGTGTTGTCTCCAGTGATGGCATTGCTCGAGTAGGTGAAGGCAATCCTGGGATATCTACACACGGAAAATGAGCACGAGCCAAGGGAAATCAGATTTGTCCGGTCAATGGCTGATTGAAATGACGGTGTGCGGATTGCGCTATGGCAGTTTTCCGCACAGTCAGTATTGAACAGGAAAGTTCTCACTTTCGCGTTACAACCGGCCATACAATAAGTGAAGCACACTTCTTTATACTCGCAGTACAACGTCAGAATGTATGTCCAGGTACATGCAAATGTACAATTGTCAATTTGCCATGCACTAAAGTTACCGGTGGTACCAGTTCATGTACATTGATTGTTGATTGATTCATTGATTGATTAAAATAAAACAATACATGTGCATGTACAATGAATACTGTGTCGCAGTACTGTACTGTGCTGTCTTAGTGTACGTGTGTGTGGGGGGGGGGGGGAGGGGGTGCATTTATAGCAAGGGCGTCGGAACCGCACCGGCCGGGGCGGCCATGGCCGCCCCACTTTTTCGGCCGTTTTTTTGTTTTTTGAGCACACTGCAACAAAGCGCGATGATCTCAGCGCAAACGTGGCAAATCCTTGTCCCCGATCGTGGTTTGTTGCAGAATCAAAAGCCCATGTACACTGAAATGGCACCAAATGCCTGGGAATGCTTGCAATTGGCTTCAATTTTTGAATTTTTTTCCCGGGGGAGGGTAATGTTTGTCCCCGATCGTAGCATCTTCTTTGTTTTTTGCAGAATCAAAAAGTCTTTCATTGTAGTTACCGTACACTGAAATGGCACCAAATGCCCGGAAATGCTTGCAATTGGCTTCAATTTTTTCTCGGGGGAGGACCCCCGGATCCCCCTTCCATGGCCGCCCCACCTCCAAAGTCGGTGCGACGCGCCTGTATAGAACATAGACTTCACCACAGTACCACCACCACAACGGTCCTAGACACTGAGAATCGATTTCCAAACTGAATCGCCAAACTTTCGCCCTTGGAGTTCTTCCTCTGTCCATGCATTGCTCAGTACGGCAATGGGCAGAATGTAGAACGATGGTTTGCTGGCAACTCAATCGAGTTTCACGCGTTGCGATCACCAGGCAGAAACTGAAGCTACTCTTTACATGTACGTGCACATGTAAATTGAAGTGCACTGTACATTGTACATTTTAGGTGAGAAAAAACCATAGTAAAACCTGTACCTAACGGCCGCCGTGACGTGACGACCACCGGCCTGGTACTACCGACCACTCTGCCAGGCACGGACGGTGTCACATTCAAAACGCACTGGGACTAGCAACTGCCTGCTGTATACAAACCACGACCGCCTTTTTCTTGTCCCAATGTCGATATTTGACCTGTGACTAGCGACCGCTATGTAGGAAAACAAAGGTTGTTCAAAGCTCCTTCTTTGAAATTTTGATCATTCTCCATGGTCCTGAACAGACTCTTTCAATTTTGCAGCTGGGCGCAAGCTCATTTTCACTGTGGATTGCACTGCACCTGACAATGACAAAATTATTTTGAGGAGTGGAAGGCCGGAGGCAACACTAATACTAAGCAGCTGGCTCCCAACAGACGACAGTATGAACTTCTGGTTCAGTGGTTTATGAGTGTGCCGTCGCGTGGCAAACCTGGTGCCTGGAAGTTCAGTTCTACTGTTTTGTTTTACACAGGCTCATCCCTGGTCAAGGCTGTCTCTTTATATCTTGTCCTATCTCTTGTTTGCAGAGCTTCACGGCTACATGCCAGCATCTGCGTCCTCTATTCACATTCCTGGCTGGTTAGAAGCTTGGAAGAAGTGGCACAACATCATCAAAGGAACGGTGCTGTCGGGCAAAGCCGCTGATGTCTGTGACGAGGAAGTGGCCAGCTGGAATGAACACCTGGGAGATCTATTCAAAGTGTACAACCCTAAGGACATTTTCAACGCAGATGAGACCGGGTTGTTTGTCCGCACTCTTCCAAATCGTTCTCTTGTCGTTCGAAAGGATTCGTGCAAAGGCGGCAAGTAGTCTAAAGAGCGGATCATCGTCCTTCTAGCAGCCAGTGCCATGTGTGAAAAGCTGAAGCCATTGGGCATCGGTAAATCGGCTAACCCTAGGTGTTTCAAAGAGGCCAAACAAGCAGCACTGGGTGTACAGTACGAGGCCAATAAGAAGGCTTGAATGGTGTTGAGTCTGTTGTATGTGTGTCGTAGTTGGCTGAAGGCTTTAGACCGCAGAAGTTTGCTGCAGCTGGACGCAGCATCCTGATGTTCATCGACAACTGCCCAGCTCATCGAACACTCGACTTGGAGCATGTTGAGTTAGTATTCCTCCCCGCGACTCCTGGCTTCAGAAGTAGTGTAGCGTTGGCACGCTGGTGACTTCACAGCGTATAACGTATAGTGTTTAGCGTATAGCATATTCTCGAACGTTACTATATCCCCGTACGTTAGCGTATCCCCGTACATTAGTGTACGGAGTTTGCCTGTGCATAAAACCTGCTGTTCACGATTCTTTTGAGTCAGTTAATTAAGTAGCCAGTTAATTTCATTGGCAGTTTAGAGTTAGAGTTCAACCTTCGATCCAGTCTTTAGTAATAATAAAGTTAACAACAGTGTGTTCACTGAGACCCGTGTGCATTTGCCTCCGAGAGAGACTGCGGCCCGCTACAGTAGCAACTGAATTTGATGTCAGCGATATCACTTTAAAAAAATTCTCCCTCTCTAAGTATTGTGTGATCTGAAATAAAATATGGCACCGTGTAAGTGGTGGGGAATTGTATTAGCTGCATCTTGACATATACTGTAAAGTACGGCGAGAGCGCCGCGTCTCGTGAGAGCGCCCCACCTTGATTTTACATCCAGGTAAAGGAAAGCCGTAAGGCAGAGTTCAACAAAGTGTGTACTGTTGGAGGACACTTCGTAGATTGTTGTGTGGAGCTCGTGTCCGCGCACTTGAAAGTAAATTGAGTGCCGATGGACTGCACAGCGTGCAATGTGTGCACTAGGTTCATGTTGTATGACCTACATACAGGACACCACCTCAACAATACAACCACCGAGATGGTGGCGCACTCTCGCGGTACTTTACAGTAATTATAACAGGGGCGTCGGAACTGGTGCTGCAGGAGCAGCCAAAGCCTCACGAATAATGTTTTCCCGTGATATTTGAAGCAATGAAATATGGGCTATTTGGGCCCAATTCCCTAAATTGTTTACAGGAAGGCCCATGACCCACATTTTTATAGTTTCACCAATGTAGAGTACCTCCTGACGCCCATGTATAATGGGATCCATATATGGTCGCATGATGCAAACCTCTAACTAAAGACCATCTGCCACTAGAGACCACCTGCCACTAAAGACAATCTGCCACTAAAGACCATCTGCCACTAGAGACCACCTGCCACTAGAGACCACTAGCTCTGGTGCCAAGGGGTGGTCATTAGTTACAGGTCTTACCAAGAGTATGTAAGCTCCCAAAAGTGTGCAACTCCTGATACCCTTTTTATGGGGTTCGCCGACGATCATGACCATGTGACCATGTGGTGTAGTGGTCCTGCTGACCATGTGGTGTAGTGGTCCTGCTGACCATGTGGTGTAGTGGTCCTGCTGACCATGTGGTGTAGTGGTCCTGCTGACCATGTGGTGTAGTGGTCCTGCTGACCATGTGGTGTAGTGGTCCTGCTGTACATTTAGAGCCAGTTATAGCGAGCAGCGGAGCAATAAAATTGATAGAACGCCCTGGCAGAAGCTCGCTGTGCGTATGCAACTCCCCAGTATGATTACGGCAGATTTTCGGATAGTGCGCACGCTATCCTTTGTTGTTCGTCATGAGAATACGAAACGTACCCGAAACACACGATTTGAGAGTTGCACACTCTTGGGAGCTTGTTTATTCTTGGTTTTACTGTAGACACATCTGTCATGCACTCTTCAGCTACTATGATGCAATGCAGTATGATATCATGATTGTGTACTTACTAGGGGTGACTTCACCGTGCACTACTGAGACACAGGCAATGAAGTGGCCGACCAACAGCAGAACAGCGCAGGGAGAGCCATCGGCGACGATGTTACAGTAGCAGTAGAGCATGCAGTAGAGCATTGTATGCAGGAAAGAGGCAGAGCACACATGTATACACATACATGTCCGCACGCATACACAGCACACATGTACACAATACGCACATGTACACACGTGCACACATGCGCGCGAGCGCTCACACACACACACACACACACACACATGCATACACACACACACACACACACACACACACACACACACACATGCATACACACACACACGTATGCGGACATGTATACACATGCACGCACGTCAGGCAGAGCCAGATCAGATCATGGTCTAAGATGTGCTAGTACATTGTAACGTAATTGCACTACTTTATAAGCGTATATCAGGCTGCAGGTCGTTGTAGCTGTTGTCTATAGACTGATGTGTCGCGATATGTTTGGCACATACTATGTAGACGTTGTGTACTGTTGGTTGGGGTTGCATCTCTACATATCTCTTTTTCAGAACACTGTTGAACTGCCGTCATGTGGGAGCGATGGAGGAAGTGGAAAAATACCAACGCCAAACTCGGAACTCTGGCATCACCGTATGATTCCTGCTGTTATGCAATTGCAATGGGGGAGGAGAAGATACGCCCTGCGGTCGCCAGTGAAGCAGCTAATTCCGGGCCCAGGTGTGCTTGTGGTGCCAACAAATCAGCCCTGTATATGGCCCAGCACAGCAGAGAACAAGGGGTGCCCGGAGAAGGGGAGGGGGGCACCGCATGCATTGTACTTCTGCGATTTAAAAAAATAATAAATGATGAAACTGCTTTTCAAAGTAAAACTGTCCAATGTCAGTTGTTCTGCTCGACGATATGACCCTTGCTCTTGGCATAGTGCGGCACATATTGCGGCATAGTGCGGCACATATTGCGGCATAGTGCGGCACATATTGCGGCATAGTGCGGCACATATTGCGGCATAGTGCTACAGCACAGTACTACCACTAGTTCCCGTCACGAGTCAAAAAATCATCCAATACGACACAATCATAGTACATGTATACGCAGTCAAGCTTACCGTTCCCAGGCACCATCGCCAAAATAACTGCCATGCCAGAGATGAGGGCAAACACATGTTTAACAGCTGACGACATCATTGACCTAGAGTGGGTAAGATTCTTCTCCGACAGAGGTTTTATCCGGTGACCGGGACGGATGGAAGCGACAACCGAACGGTACGGTGTACGGTACGGTATTACGATGTACGACGAAACGCCAGTATACCGCGCGTACCGGTACGGTATGGCGGTACACTGGTACAGTATGGTACTGGTACCGGGTGTTATTGGCAGGATGATGTCCAAGACAGGACCGACTGGCAAACCGGTAAGAACGGAAAACAACAGCAGAATACCCACAACGAACACCGAACATCGATGAACGTTGAACAACAACTAACGTAACGATGAATGCCGACAACAGAACGCAAGACTAATCGCATCCTGACCAAGGACTCTGGGATTTATTCGGACTCTGTCGTGCTCCGCACGCCACTCAAGCTGCGCGCTATTGTTGACAGAGAAAGGTCTCCGGCGCTGAGAAAGTGCCGGACACCCCCATTGTGCTAGCTCCAGAACGATGATGTTTGAGCACGTTGGCTTCTCACCTCAGACTCTAGCTCTTCGGATCATCAGCTTTGATAAGTCGCTCAAGATACCGCTGCTTTTACGTTATTCCACGGACGCTACAAGCACGTCAGAATCCTGGCGCGAATAGCAGGACCGCAAAGCTAAAAAAACCTCGCCATGCATCAGCCATCACACACTCCCAGCCGAGCTGGCCAGCGTGAATCGACCAATTATTTACAGGTAATCATGGTAGTAATGATGTTGATGATTGGTCTTCACCTGCTCACTGGTAGTGGTGGCTGCAGTCCGGAGTCGAACTGATCGGAAAACTAAGGAGATGCTACAACTGTATCAACTATGTATGCACATCGTGCCAAAACAAGTAAAGTATAGAGGAAAAAATAAACTCCAAGCTGTACTTGTTGTACTCTAGGCTAGCACTTAGTCTTTGCAGTCTTGACTTTTGACTTTGAGTTTGAGTCTTGGTCACGTTGGTGATCATGGTGATCACACCGCTACTTGTTTGAGCTCCTGCACTGGCTGCGGAGTGCAGCACTATGCTGCACTCCGCAGCTAGCTTTGATAGGCACCAGAACTACACTTAGAAGTAAGCAAGCTAACTAAGACTAATACTAGTAATACTACTAGTATTAGTAAGTGTTGTATTACAGTTACTATTGAGAGCTAGAGCCTTAGGCTTAGAAGTAATTAGTTAGAGGTGCGACCACCAGCAAGCCGCGATGTCAACACCGAAGCCGCTACAAAAACCGCGACACGTCTCACAGTCACAGCCCAGCCACTGAGCTTCCACCGTCTGCGCCAGTGCCAGTGCGCTAGTACTAGTAGATCTACTACTACTATGAGTATGAGTATGAGTACTACATCATTGTACTACAAACAACATTTACAGTGACACTCAGTCAGTGAGACACCCATACTGCCATAGCACAATGTCATGTCATGACTTTTGGTAAGTCCCCATCCCCAAATCATGCAAATACACATCTTGCTCGAGTCATGTACATCCATACATTATTGTATGAAGAGTGTGTGCTGACAACATGACAGCAGACTTTTGTCATGTTGTCAGCGCATTTAGTAATCATAGTAAACTATTTAATTTTACTATGAAGTCTCTTTTTAATACGGGCAAACAAAAAAGTAATACAATCCACGGTGCCATGGCATGGTGAAGTATTAGAACACAACACCAAAAATGAAAAGAATATGAACATGTGTGTGAGTCCCGTGGCGTGTTTTATAGGTGACAATAGGGCTTGAAAGTGCTACGTCACAGCATAGCAACAATTTCAAAAATTCAAAAACTGGATCCACTTGGATCCAGTTTTTGTATGGATCCAAGCACATTTCAAGCCGCCTTACTCACAGCAAGGTGATGTAACCAGTAAAACTGACTGATTTGGTAGGGTACCCTGTAAGAAGGCCTTAGGCCTGTGGGGATTGCCCTATCAAAAATTTGATAATAATAATAATAATCCACACCCGCCTGTGTGGATTCACAGGAAGTGTGAGTTACGAAGTCTGAAGAAAATGTTGAACAGTCTCTGCTGGGATGACGACTACACCATAGCTCAGTGGTTAGAGCATCGCTAGCTACAAGCGAGGGTCCCTGGTTCGAGTCCTGGTGGTGACAGTCAATTTTTTCTTCAGACTTTTCCCGTTTGTCTCTTTCCCTCAAACTAGTGAAAATAATAATAATTTGGCTACTGGGGGCGGGGTTACAACTGGTGGCGAAGTAAAAGTCATCCCTGCATACGACATGAGTGAGTTGCTATGCACCCACATACTGAGGCAATAGCAAAGTCACACCTTAGTGGATCCAAAATAGAAATCTGATATCAACTTACTACTCCCTGGCCGATTTTGACGTCATCACTTTCAAGCCCTATCATCATGTCACTTCAAGCACGTTTCCTTTCTGTGAGACTAGTGTACGGCATTCTTATTCTATTCTCAGTACATCATTGAATTGGTTTGGTTTTTATTACTTGAGTTCGTTGCATGCCTCAACAATACAAAGTACAAATATCAAGAGGGACGAACGAAAAGAGGAAGGTAAAACAGAGCAGAAAGTGTTGTATTTTGAGTACGATTCTAAGTCCTTATCTCATTCTTCCTTTGTGTTTTGTTTGCCGGAGGATGTACTAACCCGGCTAGCCCTGAAGCCTAGACTCTAGAGCCCACATATTCTCACACAGCTTTTCATACAGCGCTACAAGACCCACCCTCTCCTGGCACATGTACCGACATGGTCGGCACCCCATCCTCATGTTGCCTGATGATTGCGAGAGCATGAAACTTGAAGTAACAGCAAACAAGCCTTGATCGTCCTTGTTATTCTGTTCTGTTTTGTTTGCCAGTAGAAGAGCTTCAAGAGGCTTTAGCATCACGTGTATTGACTACGTACAATCACGACATCGGTCTACGCATCACCATCACCCCCGAACCAAAAAGTGGTCAACTCCTCGACGTCACATGTCACATTTGACCCCTGCAGCGGCAGAAAACGGCATCACATACGAGAGAGCAGAATTTGGCAGAACTGGCGCTTGAAAAAGCAGAATATCTATCGGTATCCCGAGTCCTAACTGACCTAAGTCTCCGAACGTCAAGGCTTTCCCTTGCTCTCAGCAATCCTGTGTACTTTTTTTAGCACTGAAGTTCAAGCGCTCGCTTCTGCTTGGCAGAGGGCGCTGCGTTTTGGGGCCTAGACACAGCGCTACATCATCCGGTCTGCAAGCCACAGTACAAGTAGTGGCAGGCGCTGGCGCTTGGCGGTTCCTCAATTTTTTTATATTTTTTTATAATTAATATAATAAAATATAGAATGATATGCAACCGGATGAGCAGAAAAATCAGACAGCAGAACCCCATGTCCTTCGAGCAGAATTTCGAGCGGACTGAAAAGCAGAAATGCTTCTTTCGCCGAGCATTATCCGCCAGTCCCTATCTACCGCACCATGCCTAACATGCACAGCACTCCATCATCAGCACAGCGCCCGTGCCCGTGGAGGAGCAGGAAGTCGAGGCCGGATAACCACGAGACCGAGGCTGAAGTCATGGATAAACAAGGAAGGACAACATGTTACGTGTGATGCCTTTCCACCAAAGTAACCAGATCATCCGCTATGTACATGATGGTACAATAACAAGTAGCTCCACACGATGTACGTTTCGCCGTATACCGGTAGGTAATGACGGCTCATCAGGTTACCGACTGTACATTGGGTTGAAATTTGGTACTGCACTTGCCTGCGACCCGAGAGGTCCCGTGTGCGAGCCCCGCAGTCGCACATCTGACTGCAAAATCCCCACGACGCAGCTCACCAGATCAAGGACTTAGGTATGTAGGTGTGGGTTCTCTTCACTCAGTAGACTCGAGTCGAGCGAGCTGCAACTCCCGGTGCCGAAAGGCGGGCTCACGCCCCCTCTCTGACCCTCGAAGACGAAAATGATAGTAGCCGACTTGCCGAAATCATGTTTTAAAAATAATTGGAAAGCTCGAACATTCGTTCGTTTGAAACAGAAGGATGTTCCAACGACTCGGAGGAACACACGCTTCCTGCTAAACGAGACACACGACTGACTCACGACTGCCATCCGGAGCACACGAGGAGCACGTCGCACCTTCCACTCGGCAAGAAAGCACCACTCCGGGCCCTGCTCAATACGTATAGGATATTGACCAAGACGAGGTCTATATTTCCCATATCGACCGAAGTCGAGGTCAATATCCTATTTATCACGATTCCTTTGCCATAACCCCAAAATTTGAACCTTTAGGAGCTATTTTAACCTTTTTAGTATAGTATTTGTACTATAGTGTACATAGGATGTTGCCTATTTTGGGTACAAGACTGTAAGAACAACAGAGTTCAGCATCTGCAGCACAGTGGCTGGGTGGTATAAGGGGTTGCTTGAGATTCATACTGTTGTGGGTTCGAATCCTGCTTGTTCTCTTCCTTTGTCTTCTTTCTTTCAATTTTTTCTTTTTGAAGTGGAGAGAAAAATTCTAAGTCCCTCCAAAGTCGAAAGATTACAATGCCTAAGTGGTCGATACAAGCGGTCGATATAAGCGGTCGATATTGCGGCGATATGGGTAATATAGGACCAGTCAAGGATCACGAGAATTAGTGGAGGTCGATATAGAAGAGTTAGTATCTAATATTGACTGAGTACGTGGTCAATATAGGAAATAAAAGCCGAGTGAAAGACTGAGGCGAAGCCGAGGTCTTTTATTTCCTATACTGACCAAGTACGAAGTCAATATTAGATTTATCACGACTAGCCAAAGCCTGTGTTCAATTGCTAAAAAGGAGTCTAATATAAACGGTCAATATAGCCCTAAGAAGTGAAATACGCAGGGATATTTCACTGCTTAGGTATGGCAAAAATCTATGGGAATCAATACTAAAAGGGAGTGATAAACAGTGTTTCGGGGAATTCACCCCTCATCATACAGTTGAGCTTGAGTAGGCTGGGGAAGATTGTGCCTGAAAAGCACCACATGCAGTGTCCTCCAGGCCAAACCACTACTAGTACATGTACCAGGGATGCAAACCCGGCGCTAGCAACGGTTGTACCCACTGATGTTGGTGACCATAGCGCTCTGGAAGCCTAGCTATATTCAGCTTGACGTTGCCGTTCCGCCCGCGTAATCCACGACGTCGCGGCTGACCAGGAATATACGCGTTGACATTTTAAAACTCTTTTCGGCAAGATATCCTTGAGGCTTAAGCGCTTTTGCCTACATGATTTCTCGGATCGCAATGATGTAAATCGCATGCGGAAAGGGTGGTACACTAAGTTCCTGTGTGTTTTGGACAAGCATGCCCCGCTGCACAACTCTAGGCCTTCCCGGAGGGCGATACCTCCCTGCCACGGTCTGACAGAGAACTGCACCAGCTCGAACAGCGTAAACGGCGGCTGCACAGCCTAGCCGTTGGCGGAAGGATAGGACAGATGGCGCACTGTATACCGAGTTCAAACAAGCACGTAGCTTTGCGCAGTGGTAGTGCCATAGCCAATGAGGTCCAACCCAGGCGTGGTTATTGCTAGTTGAAACGTAGCAATCATCGGAATGCGTATCGGCGCAAGAGAAACGCGTACTAGCACTTCTCCCGTCAGTGTGAAGAAAATGTTGCCATTCTAAATGCAGTCACTGGGCGTTCACGTCGCCGCCAATATCCTAGTTGTATCATCAGTGAGGTGGCCGACACGTTCCACTCCATTGTCACCGATCACAACCGTCCTGAACAACTCTGCACTCTGCAAGGTCCCGCTGGACCTGTCTCCTTGACCGAACTAAACTTGATCCTGTGACTCCTGCTGACGTCTGACGTCTCCTTGAGCAGTTGAATGCGCGGAAAGCCACAGGTAG